GGTCGATGCTCGTGCGTCTCTCGGGGCGTGCGGGCTGAATCCGGACCCGCGTTCCGGCCTTCCGCGGATCTTCCTAGCCGTAAGGTCGCGTCGGTTTCGTTTCGTGCGCGATCGGCGCGCGCCTGTACGACCGCCGTTCAACGGTCAGCTCAGAACTGGCACGGACAAGGGGAATCCGACTGTCTAATTAAAACAAAGCATTGCGATGGCCCTCGCGGGTGTTGACGCAATGTGATTTCTGCCCAGTGCTCTGAATGTCAACGTGAAGAAATTCAAGCAAGCGCGGGTAAACGGCGGGAGTAACTATGACTCTGAGGTGGGTCTCTGCGCTGTGGTGCACGTGGTGAGACCGATGACACCGATCGCTGAGGCCCGAATAGCCTCATAACGGGGCGCAGCGGGGTCGCCTGTTCGCGTCCCGGCCCTAACGGGAGGAGTTCGTGGGTGCTCCTCTCTCGATGGAATCCTGGTGTCGTGGTCGGGAAACCGCCAGCCATTTTCCGACCATTAAAATACACGACCTCCGTCGAGTTAGCAAATGGGGTCCGCGGTGTCTGGGTGGCCCTTTCCAGTCACGCGGACTCAACTCCTACCCGAGGCCTGCACGTGGCGCCGCCGCTCAAGACCGACACGGGAGGGGGGGACGTGCCTAAATTAGTATGCTCCGAAAGCGGCTGTTGCGGGGTGACCGTCTCGTTGGCACATTCCTAATTCTGCGAGGCACAGCGCACATTTCCACTATAGTCTCCCGTTTGGTTGTCTCATCGCGGCTTTTTAGTTGCGATGTTGACATGCAAACGGGAGACTGTAGTCAGGCTTGTGAGCGGGTTTACTAGATTCGTCTAGTATGCGCAGCGTTCTCCATCTTGGAACGTAACCCGTGCGAGGTTCAGGGTGAGATCCCTGAACAGTCCCTATGGGTGGCATTTATGTCGCCAAGTCGAATCGCTGACTTCGGTCGGGACCTTTGCGAGAGCGGTAGGCGATCCAGGTGGCTGGGCTTGCACCCCGGCCACATTGGGCATTAAACAAGCACAAGACAAAATAAGGAAAGAATTATTTTGCCACCCCGGCCTCCCACAGGAGCCGGGGAGCTTGGCCCAATCTTCGGCCGCTCAAACTGGGGCTTCGGCCACGGTTTCTGCGGTCTCTGACTGGACGTGTCCGGTGTGTGGACGTGTGTTCACCACCAAAACGGGGTTAGGGGTCCACAAGCGTAGGGCCCACCCCGAAGTAGCAAATGCGGAGGCCGCTCCGAACATGGTGAAGCGCAGGTGGCGCGATGAGGAGCTGGCATTGATGGCGCGTACAGAGGCGCGATTACTGGAAGAGACCGGTCGCTGTACGAACGCAGACCTGCTCCAAAGCCTGTCGGGGTTCGAGCGGACCCTAGAGGCTATCAAAGGAAAAAGGCGCTGTGGGGAATATAAACGCCTGGTACAAGAGTGCCGGGCAAAAGTCAAGGACGATTCCCCACCCACGAGCAGCCAAGCGCCTGAGAGCAGGGGTTCGACACGGCCGGAATCCGAAAGTGTCGCGCTTTCTGTCCAGCCTCTGCCAGCTGAAGACGCACCGCCTGTCGCTGATGACCCATCACCGCACTACTGTAGTGTCCCAGATAACTCGTGTGCAGACCAAATTGTCGCGGATCTTCTTGAGAGGGCCGCGATGAGGAGGTCGCGACACGGCCTGGGTTCCCGTAGTGCGAGGCGACTCCGCATCTCGAACGTGACTCGGGCCGACACCGCACTGGCCGGTCTGTCGAGCCGCAAGAGGAGGAGAATAGAGTACGCCAGGGTACAGGAACTCATTCGAACGTGTCCCAGTCGAGCAGCAGCCGAGGTGATCGACGGCGTGCACAGGAGCGTTCGGCATTCTCTCGAAGACTTGGAAGCCTATTGGCGACCAATCCTAGAGAGGGTGTCGGATGCCTCAGGGCCTACACCGTCTGCGCTGAACGCCTTAAGGCGGGAGGAGCAGTATGGAGGCGCACGCGATTACTCCCGGCTGTGGGTGCCTTTCACGACCGACGAAGTGAAGGCGTCCAAGTTCGACTGGCAAACGGCACCTGGTCCGGACGGTATCCGCCCGGATGAGTGGCGCCTAGTTCCTGCGGCCCGAAAAGCGGAAATATTCAACTCTTGGTTGACCACTGGCGTAATACCAGAGCCCCTGCGGCAATGCCGGACGATCTTCGTGCCGAAGACGGACGTTCCTGCTGGGCCGGGCGACTATCGACCGATTTCTATCGCGTCGATACCGCTTAGGCACATGCACTCGGTCCTGGCGCGGAGACTTCTGGATTGCTGCTCCCCCCGATGCACGACAGCGTGGATTCGTCTGCGCCGACGGCACGTTGGAGAATTCCGCCGTGCTGGACGCGGTGCTAGGGGATAGCAGGAAAAAGCTAAGAGAGTGTCATGTGGCGGTCCTCGATTTCGCGAAGGCGTTCGACACAGTGTCTCATAGAGCGCTGGTCGGGCTACTCCGGGCTCGGGGGCTACCCATGGCATTCTGTGATTACATCTCTCGGCTGTACGACGCGGCGACCACCACGTTGGATGTCGGCGTACAGTCGAGTGCACCTGTTAAACTGGGCCGAGGTGTGCGTCAGGGAGATCCGTTGTCGCCCATCCTGTTCAACATGGCGATGGACGTAATTCTTGCCGCTCTACCGAAAGAGGTAGGCTATAGGCTGGAAATGGAGCGAGTCTCGGCTCTGGCCTATGCCGATGACCTAGTCCTGCTTGCAGGCTCAAAGGTAGGGATGCAGGAATCCATTGACCGTGTGTTCGAGGTTGCGTCGTCGATGGGTCTCTTGGTCAACAACAACAAGAGCTCCGTCTTGTCGATGGTGCCCGACGGAAAGCGCAAGAAGCACCACTATCTGACCGGGAAAACGTTCCGGATAGGTCGGAAGTGGCTAAGTCAAACTTCCTGCGTGGAACGTTGGCGCTATCTGGGCATCGACTTCCAGGCGTCTGGATGCGTGATGTTAGAGCATGATATCAAAGTTGCCTTAACCAACATCTCTAAGGCACCCCTCAAGCCGCAGCAGCGACTCGAAATCGTGAGGGGACACCTTATTCCGAGATTTTTGCATGGCCTTGTGTTGGGCAATATCTCGGATGATAGGTTAAACATGCTCGACGTCCAGATCCGGGGTGCGGTTAGGAATTGGCTGAGGCTCCCGAAGGATGTGCCTGTCGGGTACTTCCACGCCGACATCAAGGACGGCGGCCTAGCGATCCCATCGCTTCGGGCGACCGTCCCGGATCTCATATTGAAGAGGTTCGGGCGGCTCGACTCGTCGAGTTGGCCAGTAGCACAGGCCGCCGCCAGATCCGCAAGGATCCGAAAGAAGTTGAGCTGGGCCGACAAGCAAATCCGAAAGTTCACCAGAGAGGATCCGGTCACGGGCCTTAGGTCCGTCTCACGGTTTTGGCGAGATAGACTGTGGAGCTCAGTGGACGGGTTCGAGTTACGCGAATCCGCCCGCACTCCCGCGTCTACGAAGTGGATTCGGGAGGAGTCTTCACATGTCTCGGGTCGGGACTTCGTGCAGTTCGTCCACACGCATATAAACGCCATCCCGTCAAGGGTTAGAACATCTAGAGGGCGAAGGATTGGTCGTGAGGCGGAGTTGAACTGCCGCGCCGGGTGCGTGGTTAGGGAGACGACGGCTCACACCATCCAACAATGTTGGCGGACGCACGGGGGCCGGATCTTGCGCCATGACCGTGTAGTGAGGCTAGTAGCAGAAGCGATGGCCTCAGACCAATGGTCGGTGGTGACTGAGCCTCATGTCAAGACCTCGAAAGGCCTTCGGAAGCCCGACATAGTAGCCGCTAAAGGAGGCGTCGGAGTGATCGTGGACGTCCAGGTAGTCTCGGGCCAGCGGCCCCTCGATGATGCTCACCGTGAGAAACGTAGTAAATACGGGACTCACGAGGAGCTAGTTGAGAAGGTTGCTGGTATACTAGGACTACCCAGTAAGGATTGCGTCCACGCGACCTCATGTACGATCTCCTGGCGAGGTGTTTGGAGTCACTCCTCCTATAAGGAGTTGAAGAGACTCCTAGGGCTGAAGGAGAGTCTGTTGAGAGCTATACCAGTGGTGGTATTGCGCGGCTCGCACATGAACTGGACACGTTTCAGTCAGATGACCGGGACTGTGGTGGGAACCCCAGTGTGAGTGCCCGGGGTCCTGTGGGACTTCTGGGCTGCTGCCGAGCCCTTGGTGGTCGTGGCCATATGCCTTAGATGGCAAAGACCAGGTTCCCCATAACATCAAACGACCACCAACCAGTAGCAATCGGCACAATGCTGATCAGCCTCTGTAGACGGGAGATTGGGGACATGTGGCGTCTCTCGTGGCATCCATGATGATTAGTGATTTCGTTCACTAAGACGATGGTATGATGATCGGTGGAAATAGCCAAATGCCTCGTCATCTAATTAGTGACGCGCATGAATGGATTAACGAGATTCCCACTGTCCCTATCTACTACCCATGGGATGTCTTCAAGGCTCCGTTCTGGGCCCAACACTGTGGAACGTGCTGATGGACGATTTGCTTCGACTCCCTCTGCCTGAGGGAGTTGCCATGACTGCCTATGCCGATGATGTCACAATCTTGGTTGAATCGGAAACGAGAGCAGGTATTGAATCCAGGGCCCGGGTCACTCTGGACCTTGTACGGGAATGGGGGTTGAGGAATCGACTGAAGTTCTCCTCCTCAAAGTCTACCACTATGACTGTTAGAGGGAAACTTCAGCGCCCCCCGGTTATTAAACTTGGTGGGGAATCAATCAAGTCCGTGACTACCGCTAAGGTACTAGGCGTGGTTTTGGACTCAGGATTATCATTTGTGCAACACGCTTCTGATATTTCTGAAAGAGCGACTAAGGGATTTGGCAAAATGACTCGCGTATCGACCTCGTCATGGGGTATTCGATATCCGAGTTTAAAAATTATTTACAGAGGAGTGTTTGTGTCCACGCTCACGTATGCAGCAGAGTGCTGGTATGAGCGGGCGAACATGTACACAGTCCGTAGCGTACTACTGAGATCGCAACGATCTGCACTTGTCTTGCTGACCAAGGCTTACCGGTCCACTAGCACGGCGGCCTTACCGGTGCTGGCTGGTGTTCTCCCTGCTGACCTGGAGGTCATCCGTGCTGGTAGGATGGGTGTGGCACGTTTGACCGCGCCCAAAGAGGAGTTGAGCAGACGAAAGCGCGATATCTGGACTGAGGTGATTGGCGTATGGCAGAATCGATGGGAAAACGAAACGAAAGGACGTGAGTTAAATCGATTTTTCCCGGAGGTGGCGTTGAGACTCAGGTATACCTGGGTCTCACCGGACTATCAAACATCCCAGATTCTCACTGGACATGGATGTTTTCGAAAGAGACTGCATGACATGCGACTGTGTGAAACCAGTATGTGTGAGTGTGGTACGGCAGAGGAGGATGTTCACCATGTTCTATGGGAATGTCCTCTGTATGACGATCTAAGAACGAAAGTGTTGGATGGGCTGGTTCGAACGGTTCAGGGACCGATTTACTACTCGGATCTCGTCAGCGATGGGGTGAACTACGGGCTGTTGCGTGAGTTTGCGCATAGGTGGCACGATCGCAGGAGAAGGCAGGAAAGGATGCTGGTAGGAAGGCCCGACGACGTAGGCGTTATTGTGCCGTCAGCCCCAGAAGGGGGAGAATGACGTTAAACTGGGACAAGGAACAGAATAAATATTTGTAGGGAGTCAAGAAAGTGCGCGCGGGAAAGAGCAAGGTGCAAGTACCGCGCGCATCTCCCGAGATTAGGCCCGTATGACCTGAGGGTCGGTGGGGCCATGGGAGGTGGTGGGTTGTCCCTATCTGTCCCTATCTACTACTACTACGTCGTCGGTACTGTACTACTACGTCGTCGGTACTACTACGTCGTCGGTACTCGTACTGAGCGGACGTATCGCAGCGCTCTCGCGTGACCACGGGCAGTGATTTTTAATCGTTTCTCGTGTCTTTTAGTGTATTTCTTTAAAATAGTTGACTTTTGTTGTTGTTTAAACTTTATTTTGTATTTTAATTGAACTGTGCATTGTGTGTAATCGCTTTTAATCATTTTTAAACATTTTTAATCGTCATATAGGTTAGGTTAGACCACGCGGTTACCGCGTGGTAGCGTTAGGTTAAGTACACTTATTCTATAGCTGTGTGTAATTTCTGTGTTCGTTTGGATTTTTAACTACTTCAAACTATCTTTAAACTGTAAGTACTTTCGTTATATTTAGTGTTAATTTAAATAATAAGAAGTGAACTAGAATATAGGTTAGATTGTGTCGGTGTTGTTTGACACTGACAGCTGTCATTGTATAAGACACTGAGAGTGACGTTGGCAGCTGTCACTGTGGGTGACATTTCATTGACAGTGACATTGACAGGGTGACCTGTCATTATTTTCGTTACGTTGCGTTCCTTTTTACTATATTTAGTGGACTAGTGCCAAACTAAAATGGCGGACGACGACGAGGGCTTTACGCCCCGGAAGTCTTTGGCTAGGACCCCTCCGGGACCAATCGGCCGGCCGGTTGCGGTGCCCCCCCACCGCCAGTAGTGCCGGAGAAGCGGCCACTGGCGTCTCCGGAAGAGACGCAGGCGTCTTCCCAGCGGCCAAGGGTGGGCAAGCGCACTGAGTCGCGCCGGAGTGTGGCACCGGTGGCAGGACTTCTGACCAGGAACATTGAAGAATCTGCTCCAGAAACAGAGGAAGAGGATTGCTCCAGGGATGCAACTCGTGGTGTGAGAGGGAGCTTCAAGGCTACCACCGCCTCGAAGCTGGAGGTCATTGATCAGGTGCGGGAGACCGTGAGGGGGATTATGACCATTATAACCGGACCCGGCTCCAAGCTGAACAAGGCGGAGGTGAACAAAGTGTCATCGTACGGTCATGACCTCATCGCCATGGTGGCGACTATGGAAGTCCACATCTCTGAGCTGGAGCTAGCCAGACTTCGAGCGGAGAAGGAGAAGCTGGTAGCGGAAGGGAGACTGGCGCAGGTCGAGGCCGGAACAGTTCCCTGCCACATGACGGACTCGACACCGCAACGCTCATACGCGGCTGCATTGAGGCTGCCCAAGGGTGCAGACCAGGTGCTGATGCCGGTCAGCAAGGGCCCGGTGGTTGCCTTCTACCCGGCCGAAGCTGAAGGACCTATCAAGACTGCGGAGGACACAAAGTCGGTATTGAAGAAGGCGGTGAACCCAAAGACCAGCGGTCTGCAGATAGACCGGTTAAGAAAGGTGGGGAATGCAGGTGTTGTGGTCCAAACCACGTCCCAAGAGGCCGCCGAAAAACTGAAAACTGCAGCCCCTCCATCACTGAGGGTGTCTGAGCCCAGGCAGCGCCTTCCCCTGGTTGCCCTCAGGGGTTTCGAGGAGGACCCCAAGAACGAGGAGGTATTGAGCGGCCTCTACGAGCAAAATCTTGCTGCTTGTGGCTGGAGTGAGAAGAAGGTGAAGGAAGAGTGCAAGGTCGCCTTTAAAAAATCGTGGCGAGGAAGCAGGCGCACCACTGTTGTACTTCAGTGTTCGGCGGCATTAAGGGACGTGCTGGTGGGGGCACAATCGCCTCTACATTGGCTGGGACGTGGTGGAGCCCTGTGACTACGTAGATGTCACGTGCTGCCAGAGGTGCCAGCAATACGGGCATCCATCAAAATACTGCAGGTCCAAGGAAATTGTGTGTGGCAAGTGTGGGGAGACGGGACACGAGCGTGGGACCTGTCAAGCAAAGGAAGAAAAGTGCGCTACCTGCAAGAAATTTGGCCGGCCTGACTCTGGTACGCACGTGACCATGGCGAGGAACTGTCCAGCAAGACTGTATGCAGAGCAACGCTCCGTGGCCACCACGCAATACTGCCGATAAGGGCATGTCCACGAATACACGAGATCGAATCATTAAAATGGGGCAGATCAACTTGGGTCGGGGGGAGCTAGCCACGGCTGAGTTGCCTATTCTGGCGCGTGAACTGCACCTGGACATTGTTCTTGTTCAAGAACAGTACTCCCAGGCTGCAGGAATCGTCCAGGTGGGTGGTCACCCGTGGGCTGGCATCTATCTTGCCGACCCAACAATTGGAGTGGCTTTGCTGAGCCACCTCAGCAACGAGTTCTGTGTGGTGTGCCATGTAAACCGATGGGACCTCTATGTGGTGTCAGCGTACTTCAAATACAGTGACACCATTGATGACCACCTGCACCACTTGGAGGTCACCCTGAGTTGCCTAAAGGGCAGAAGGGTCATCGTCGGCCTCGACGCAAATGCGCACTCGCCACTCTGGCACTGCGATCGCCGACATTACGTGGGACGAGGACATACTGCAGAACACCGGAGGCAGCAACTGGAGGCGTTCATACTTTCACAGGAACTAACGTTGGCGAACCAGCCTGACCAGCCCTATACCTTCTCTGGGCCAGGTGGAGAATCTAATGTGGACCTCACATTATCGGCTGGGGACATATACCTTGCTGAGTGGCGAGTGCATGAGGGAATCTGCGCCAGCGATCATAATTTAATAACATACACGGCCACTACCAGCAGGCCGACTACTTGCGCTGCACCCGTCAGGGATCCCCCGCGTTTTCGTGACCGGGGGGTGGATTGGGACAGGTTCCGGGCGATCATAAAATTAAGAATGGGATGGTTGCATGTGGACAAACCCGCGGCCCTCCTGGCGGAGGAGTTCTCAGGGGTCATCATCCGCTCCGCGGAGGAAGGCCTAGGGGAGCGTCGCCCTAGGGGTTCCGCGGGGTATGAATGGTGGAATTCTGAACTGGATAAAACTCGGAAGCTGCAATGCAAGCTCAGGCGTGTATGGCAGAGTAAAAGGCGTCTGGGTGGTAGATCAGAGGAGATAGCCAGAATGGCTTTTCACAGCGTGCGTGCGAGATATAGAAATATGATGGTGGAGGTGCAGCAGGCGCATCACACGAGGGTCGCCAATACTGGCAATGAGGACCCCTGGGGCCTGGCCTACAGGTTGGCCAGCGGGAGGGGGTGCGTGCGCCTGCGAATGTGATCAATGGGATTGCATTCGCGGGTGGGCACCCAGATAGTCTGGTAGTTGCCATGAACAGCCTGATGACTGCGCTCTGTCCGGATGACGACCCTGGCTGTGACAAGCCTTACCAC